GAGAGCAGGTACCTGTGAGAAGAGGCACCTTGGATCTGAACTTTATGAGCCTGGAGGAGGTGATCTATTGGAAAGGCTGCAATTTCCTATGTGTGTTCTTGTAGCATCCCAGGCAAAACAATCCCGAGGTGGGGGATTTTCACCGTTGGACACCAACCTCTGCCTTTCTTTTCAAGAGAGAAACCCAAAGCCAGTTTAAATGTACACACACTTTAGAATTCCATCCTCACCACTAGGGAAGGCAATGATTTAACCATACAGCCTGGATCACACTGGGGATTCCTAATCAGGCAATGCAATTAGTGCTCATCTGTACTTTTTTCTACTGTGTCATCTCTTCTCAGAGGTCTCCAGTCTTGTGTTCACTATTTTTAATTTCCTGGATAAGTGTATTATAAAAGAACTTTTTCCAGGTTTTCATTTATTAATGAGAGATACCACATTCCCCAGAATTTCACAGGGAGGTGAAATGTAAGAGAAAGCATATAAAGCACACCTGTCTGTATAAAGCCACTCATATGGAGAGCTCTTGTGTGCTAGTGTGGGACTAAGAGTAGGCTGACTTCATCCCAGCTTTCACATTTTGTACGTCTGTCTTGTCCAATCTTACTTCTATTCATATTTCTCTACAATAAGATGTTTTTCAATAATTCTGTGTTATTGATCAAACCAAGCTTATATCTCAACTGCCTTAAAAAAAATGCAGTCCTGTACTGGAATTTACAAACAATAATAATAATAATAATAATAATAATAATAATAATAATCTTTCTGCTGGCTTTGTTTTGAGCTTCATCCAATTTAACTACACCATGGCTCCTTGCAGTTTTATTTCAGAGATGTTTGCTTAATCTATTAATTCAGGGTTTTTTGCAGTTTCAGAGTAAGATTCTGACTGATCATCAGTGTACTTCAGTATAATGTGGCTGCCATGTTCTGCAAGATGTATAATGAATTAGTACATGTAATTGTAAAGAGTAGAGATGATTATAAATACTAAGGGAAAATAACAAAATACATGAAAGAAACAAGTAGAGGCTTAATAAAATGTTAATGACAGTGGATACTTAAAATTATTTACTTAATGATTGATATAAATTGATATAAATAGATCATATTATATCTTTTCACTGTCTTCAGTTATAATTTTTGATTGTAAAATTGATTATTTTTTGTTTCCCAATTCAACATCATATGAATAATACAAAATAGTGATCTGCACTAGAAAAACTTGGTGGCTTCAACCCCTCATGTCCTCCTCAGGATGGCAGATATTATCTGGCCAGGTTATCCCTCCCAGGGACCCACTAGTTAACAGGGACAGATCTCCTCCAGAAGGTGATTCAGAGCATGACTTTAGCTGAGGTGAACTGTGTTTGTCCTCAAATTTGCTTTTCTTTTGTGCAAATCCCTACTTCCATTTACCCTTGTTGTTAGACAGCTGGTAACCCAATGAGTTTGCATTACAGTACTCAAGCTTGCACAAAGAATGATTGCTCCTAGTAAATAAAATGCTCATTTGCCCGGGTTTTCTCACAGTGATCATTGCATCTAATTTTATTGCTTTGCTGGTGAAAACCATAACATAGGACCTTTCCCTTTGTAAATGAATTATTAGCCAGCAGGAAAAATCAGCTGCGCACTGCTCAGTATCACTCAGTTCCTCAAATAAAGCCCCAAATTCTGAGCTACAGAAATGTTTTTACTTATATTTTAAATGAATATGTTTGAGCATGTGTGTAAATAGTTTTTGGGTTTGTTGGGGTTTTTTTTTCCCTTTGTAGACATATTTCATGGTAAGGCTCACTCCACAGACACATTTCTCTCTCTTACATATGTCTCATGCTTTCACTCTTACTGGAAGCACTGAGGAGTGCAAAAATTCAGGTCAAACTCTTGTAAGGAGGAAATTAATTCATAAATGTCACTATGTCTATGTAGGATATTGTGATTCAAGAAAATTTCAGCTCTGGAAAGTCAACATCTAACATAATTTCATCCTTCATTGAGAAGTCTGCCACATTATGAAACTACAAGGAAGAATGACACACAGAGAAATTAACAGCATTATATTTAGTAACAGACAAGTTATAGAATGTGAAATTTTTTATATGACTGAAAGACTATTATATTCTGGAAGAGACCATTCCTTTTCTTACCAACTGGAAAAATTCTTTCTGTTGCTTATTCCCACCATGCAATAAAACCCCCTGCATGCTTCATAAGTCTGAAGTGTCAACCAGTTGCTCATAAAAAATGCCTTTTTCATGGCAATGGTATTACAGGTATTACTGTAAAGATATTGTTTATGAGATGCCATCCTTGTTAGTCTCAGGTTTCTTAGGATTTTGGGTGGGTTGTGAGGGGTTTTTTTGGGGGGGGGTGGTTAGTGGGGCTGGGTTTAGGGGGGGGATTTGTTGATTTTGGTATTGTTGGGGCTTTTGATTTGTTTTTTGTTTTATGTGGTTTTTTTCTGGAGGGGTCAGTTTCTTAACTTGGGCACAGATGTGGGACTTGAGCAGATGGTGACAGTTCAGAAGGAAGTCCTGGTACTCTGTGATGATACAGTTTGTGTAGTGTTTTGGCAGCTACTGCCACCCTATGGTTTTCCATAATGGATGAATGCTGCAGAGCTTTAATGTGTTGCATTTCTCCAGAAACCTCTTACAGGTCAGAGAGAAGACAAAAGATATGCCTTTTGTCTTACTCACTCCTTTTCAGAAAAATCCCATCTGCAAAGAAAATCAAGTACAGCATGAGAGGCCATAGGTGGCATTAGGATGGTAGAATCTTTTCCACTGCATTTACAACTATGTAATTGAATATTAATATTGGTTCCAAGGGTTTTCACTAACTGATTATATCTGCTTTGGCAGGATAGATTTTACTCTTTTTTTTTTTGGAACTTCAAAACGTACATCTGGAGAAAGCTTCCAAAACCCATTTCTTAAAGTTACTGCTGCTTTGGGAGCCTGTGTTTACATCATGGATGCCACATATAGACAGATCTGGGTTAAAGCAATCTGGTCTAAGCAGAGTGTCCTCAGAGCATTGCTTCCAGCAGAGCTCTGCCCTCCAGACACCAGCAAGTGCCCAGCCACAGGCTCTGATGCAGAAGGAGGACGTTTCAGACACCATTATTCCACTCACTGCCCTCCTTCAGGCCAGGGAATACCCTTTGCGTGGAGGAAGACTTTTTTATTCTTTTGAGGAAGCGGCAAGAGGGATCACCTCTCATGTTGTATATCTTCTCTTTGGGACTGGAAGCTTCTTTCCCTTTCACCAACCTGGCTGAAACCAGGCAGCAATGTAGGCTATAGAAAATAACTCAGCTGGCTTGGAGGCAGGGATATGGGACTCTCTCATATATTGTAAGAGTACAGGCATAGGTTTCCCTCATATATTATTGGGGACTCTCGAGTTCCATCCCCTCTGCCACACCCAATCTCACACCTATGGAGCGCACGAACTCTGAAGTGCACCCACTGCTCTTTATCGTTCTTAGCCGACATGGGAACTGGATGTCCTCTCCTTAAGCCGGATCCCAAACCCCGCTGCGGGCGGCTCAAGAGCCGGCTCTGGGGCTCCCCGGAATCGGGGCACTCGCTCCCCGCCGCAGCCGCGGTGCCGGCACCCCGCGGCATCCCTGCCCGCCCGCCGGGCTCTGCGGGCGCTCCGTGACCCTCCTGGGGCCGGGCAGCTCCTCTCCAAAGCCACCTGTAGCTACGGCTCATTTCCCCGCATTTCTCCGAAAAAGAGCTCTTCTCAGCCCCGCTCCCTTCCCGGGTGCTTTACTTGAGTGAACCAAATGTCCATGTATTAAGAGCGGAGATGGTGCCTTTTGGGAAAGGTGCAGCGTTTGCGTTCGCTGTCGCCTCCGTGCGCCCCCCCGGCGGGCAGTGCGGGACCGGAGGGGTGTGTAGGGCCGGCTCGGCCGCCCTGCCCCCGCCCCGGGGCGGAGCTGCCGCCCCAAATGAGGTGCGATTTCACCTTTGGGCTCGTCTTCCCGGAGCGCCACTGGAATTACGGTCGTCCCGGTCCCCGCTCATGGCTCTGCGCTCCGCCGGTGGTCCCCGCTGCCAGCCCCGACGTGGAACGGCCGCATCCCCCCTGTGAAATGCGGGCAGCGGGATCTCCGCGCGGGCGGCGGGAGCCGCTGTTACGCCTGTCGGAGTTGAGCACGGAGGGAGGTGAAACAGCCACCTGAACGCGGAGAAACACCCGAACCCACAACAAGTAGTCTCGCCTGGCAGAAGCCGCTGTCGCTGCTCCGGCAAAGGTAGCGGCGGGGCGGCGGGAGGAGCGCGGGGCTGGCGGGGAGCGGGAGGCTGATCCCACCTGCCCTTCCCCGAGATGCGCGCTCGCCTTCGTGATTTGTCTGAGAAAGTAGCGAGCCGAGCTCCACACAGACAGCTTTTCCTAGAGTATGCCTGCTGCCTGCGCTGGTGGGGTGCTCTGTATTTCTTCCCAAAAAGCAACCCTTTCCTCCCTCCCACGGTGGGGGTGGGGAGGAAGAGAAAAATATCTAAGCCTAATTTTTTCCCCCTGGTTAAGCTGTTAGGACAATAAAAGATAGATGCCCATTAAATAATTAACCGTACACTTTCTGTTCCATCAGCTCGGTTCACACAGCCCCGCGAGGGAGAAGGGGGTGGGGACGGTGGCGGATCCATAGGCGGTCGAAGCAGCGGCAGTGCCATTTCGGTAGCCTGCTTCCAGGGGAAGCGGGAGGCAGCCCGGAGCTGTGCCCGGAGCGGGCAGGCGGCACAGCCCTTCGCGGCGGAGCGAGCGGAGCTGGCCGGCGGTGGGTGCCGGGCCGGGCCGGGCCGGGAGGGCTCTCCCGGAGTGCGGGTCCGCGGGAGATCGTGGGAGGGGTCTGGGACAGGCCGTGACCGCGGGGAACGGTCCTACGGTGGTGCTTGTGGGGCTTCTCCTCGATTTCTTCTGTTTGCGTTTAAGGCAGAGGCTCGTTCCCCACGGACCTGCCGGCGACCGGCTGCCCCCCGCCCAGCGACCGGCGCGCCCCCCTCCCGATCCGCGCCGCCGCCTCCCGCGCTCTCCCCAGTCATGTCCCACCCGGAGCGATGGGGAAGCTCGAGGACAACGAGAGGGTGATCCTCAACGTGGGGGGCACGCGGCACGAGACCTACCGCAGCACCCTGAAGACCCTGCCGGGGACCCGCCTGGCCCTGCTCGCCTGCGAGTCCCAGAGCGAGTCCCCGGGCGGCGAGGAGCCGCCGCCGCCCCCCAACCCGCCGCTGCCTCCGGCGGGCGGCTGCCCGGAGCCCGGCAGCGGCTGCAGCCCCCGGGGCAGCGGCGGCGCCAGCGAGTTTTTCTTCGACCGGCACCCGGGGGTCTTCGCCTATGTGCTCAACTACTACCGCACCGGCAAGCTGCACTGCCCCGCCGACGTCTGCGGGCCGCTCTTCGAGGAGGAGCTGGCCTTCTGGGGCATCGACGAGACCGACGTGGAGCCCTGCTGCTGGATGACCTACCGCCAGCACCGCGACGCCGAGGAGGCCCTCGACATCTTCGAGGCACCCGACCTGCTGACTGGCGAGCCGCCCCCCGACGGCGACGACGACGACTTGGCCGCCAAGAGACTGGGCATCGAGGACGTGGGGGCGGCCGCCGAGGGCAAGGGCGGGCGCTGGCGGCGGCTGCAGCCCCGCGTCTGGGCGCTCTTCGAGGACCCCTACTCGTCCCGCGCCGCCAGGGTAAGCGCCGCCGGCCGGCGCTCCCAGCGGGCGCTGGGGAGGCCGCGGGGCTGCTGGGGCCCCGGAGCGGGAGCCGGCATGGCGGGGAGGCTGCCCCGCTCCGGGTGTGCCCGCAGAGGGGATGCTTTGGTGGGCCACTGCAAGGGAGACATCGGCCCGCGTGGGGTGGTGATGCTTGAACCCGGTACGGCTGCAGGCAATGCCAGGCAGCACGGGGGTCCCGCTGTGCCAGCATCCTTCCCCTGGGAGTGTGCGGGGCTGAGAAAGGGAGCTGTGCCCCGAGAAGGCTCCAAGGGAGCCCAGAGTCAGCCCCTGGCCTGTGTGGGGTGTGGAGGGGTGACTCACTCACTGGTGGACCTGTTTGTGTGTGGGTGTGAGCAGGAGCAGCCCCAAGGCACCCTCATCCTCCCTGAGCGCCTGCGTGAACGTGCCTTTGGGGCCGGGGCAGGTGGCCTGAGGTCTCGGGTTTGGGGTCAGGTGGTGACAGTGACACCGGAGAGCGACCTCAGTCCATTCTGAGCTTTGCTCTGTCTGCGCTGGTAGGTGATCCTGGTTCAACAAAGCAAATGTGACAGGGGGTCACCCTGTCTCTTCCTCCATTGATTTCTCAGGGTGACCCTGACTGGCTCAGTGACTCAGGGACTGGGGAGAAGACAGTAAGTGATCATACTGACTTTCTTTTACTTAGATAGGGGTTTTAGGTTTTTATGCTCACTACTTCATACTTTGATGAGTTGGATTTTAGTTCTGTCTTTTCATTGCAGTTGTCAGGGGTGATGAGGGTTTGCTTTCTAACTCAGGGCTTTGGTGCAAACAAATGGTTGTAATTCCTTTGAGAGAAATATGCAGTGGTGTCTCTAATTTAACCAGAACAGCAACCACCAGCAAATCCTCCCTCCAATACAAGACAAAGGACTTGTAACAGGAAATGCTTGATTATAAAATGGCAATAAGTATTTTGTGGCGTATTTATCAGGATTTCCATGAAGTATTCAGAGCTAAACCTCATTTTGCAGAAAGTGTAGTTATGGTGGGTGTAATCTCCTAATCAGCTCCACTTATTCTGCTGGCAGTCTCATAAATGTGCACTTAAGTTTGTGGTTTAGCGACTTCTGGAATTGTACCCCATGACATGATGCAGTTTCTGCCCCCTCACCCTATGAACTTATTGAGGTAAGTTAAACTGAAAGTAAAGGTCCTCACACTTACTACTGTCACTTACTGAGTGCCAACGTTGTTTGTTTTTGACGGTTGCCTACCAGTATGTTTTCCCTCAACAGCTGGCTCCAGTTGATTCTTAAAGTATGTTTTTAATAAATAATGGGTTCTGAAGAAAAGTTACCAGAAGTGTCTATCTTTGCTCCTCAGAGCATACCCACATCTCAGCTGTCGGGATCCTAAAGAAAATGTGGCTGTCAGTTACCTGACAGACAGACTGTAGTGTGAGCAGTGATTGCCCTGCAGGTTTTCTTTCACCTACTGTCTTGTGGAAAGTTGCTGACAGTGTCAAAACTGCAGCTTTGGTGACAGAGAGTCTTCCTGCTCAACTTTTCTGGAGAACTCAGGAGTACGGAGTAAGTGTTAAATGGAAGATACCAGGAGAAGTAGGAAGGTAGGCATGCCTACCTTGGAGTTAAAGTTGGGTTTTCTGTCCAGTCTTTGACAGGAGCTATAGGCACTTGCTTTCCAAATTTTCCATCTGTACTAGGTCATCCTGAACCATTAGTGGCTTGGGTGAAGATATTTCAGGTTTGCAAAATGAATACTGTAATTAACACTATAGTGGGAAAATGCAGCACTGCAGTATTAATCTCTTAGAAGGCAAGAGTATTTACCTTTTTATAACTTAACTGGTTTTAAAGATTTTATTGTGATTTCAAACCCAGGCAGCCAGAATAAGGCAGTGTCAGAACCATAATAACAGCGCGTCTAAGTCTGTAATTTCATTTTCTGAAGATCTACAGTTGATCTTTCAGGTAGGGAGACAATTTCGAGAATTTCTGGTGAGTTTTAAAGCATTAAAGTGAATTTGTATTTAAGGACTTGCATGCACTTAGTAAGCACTCTTGAGCACAGTAATTTCAGGTGATGGTAACCTTAGTTTGAAACTGAGACATTGTTTTTCCATACCTGAATTGAGAGCCCTTATTTTCCCAGTATTCTGGCAAATACACTCTTGTTTTATGTCAGCTGAGATGATGACTAACTCTGAAAACATTTGAGTGAAATCCTGGGCTTACTGAAATCAAGACGAAACTCTGTGAACATCATCTTTGCCTCACAGTGTTAGTTACTGACTCATACACCACTGAGATTATGGTGGGACTGCTTAGTGGTAAACTTTCCTAAGAACTGTGATAATGATTTTCTTTTAGCATTACTGATTTAGGTTCACTAGTGTCTTTTTTTGGGAATTATGATGCTGATAAAAATAGGGTATTTTCTGTTAATGAAATGGTACTTAATATTTGTGATTTTCTTTATTTGAAACTGTGATCTCTAAAAATAGAAATTTATAGAAATTCAAATATAAGTTGCCATGGTAACCTCTTTGGGGATAGTGCACGCACAAGATTATTCTAGCAAGACCATCCAGTGATGTTATATAAATAGTGGAACTAGTTTGTTGACAAGAAGGTTTAGTTTAGTCAAGATTCTAAAAAAATTCAACTTTTAGTGTGTGCAGTTTCGTAGTCAGATAGCGACATCTACTAAACATGGGGTTTGTAAATATGAAATACAATCCATGTATATATGATTGCTTTGAAACCTGCAACACTTCCCTTTGTTTCCCAAGTTTAGGAGTTAGGTCTGAATGTTATTTCTGTCTTCATATTATCGTTTTGGATTTCACAGACCATGAAATGAAATTAGAGTGCAGTCCTTCTCCTTTCACTCCACGCGTAATGGAACGATCATTCACAAAAGGCTGTTTGACACAATGCTGTTAATGTAGATGTGGAAATCTACTGGCATAAGGTTCTCTCACAGGAGGAGGAGTGCTGGGTGACTAAATCTTTGTGTGTTGGTTTAAACCTGTCTGAAACAGGCACCTTATCTGACTAAAACCTGTGCACTGTTTTGTTGGTTAATATCTGTGAGTGATTTTGGTGTCCAGTGGCTCCTAGGTGCCAGGCACTTGTTTGAAAGCACAAGAGGCAATATTGACTGCTGAGTTCAAAAAGTGTCTGCAGGTGTCCAGCAGGGACTGGAATGCCAGTGCTCATCACAGATATCATATTTCAAAGTAATTACCTCTAAAGCCTTTTTACTTTTGAATAGTAGTTGTAAAATGATGCTGTTTAAAGATGTAATTGGTATTTGTCATTGATTTTTCCTAAGAATTATGGATTACTCCTGTACTGGGTGCAGGAATGCAAAAATGGCCCTGAAATTCACCAGGTCCATAGCTATATATCCTTAATATTTTGGGGAGACTGTGAATCTCTTTGTGGATAAGCAGTGTGGGAGTCAGCATGGCCCAGGGCACTTGAGCTGGCACTGCTGTTTGCAGCAGCTGAAGGCAGCTTACACAGCCCCTTTGATAGGGTTTTTATCTCTAGGAAAGATAATCGTTACTTAGTTTACAAGGAAATACAAATCCTAATTAGCAAGTATTTGTCAAGTTTGCTGGAAGTAAATATTCACTGCAATGCAAATAAACCCACAAAAGCCTTGCAGTCTAGGCATCAAGATATATCTTGAAAGTGTTCTTAAAAATACTGATGCTGCTTCATAGTGACATGGGGAGCTGTATTTGAGCAGTGGGTGGTATTTTTGGAGGGAAAAAATACCACCCCCCTCTACTGCTTTATATGATATTTAGTTGTCAGAGATTCCTTTCAGTGACCTATTGCATCTACACCAGCTTTGGACATTGGGTGAGGTGAAGAATCAGCTGAAATGAGTGGAGTGGGAGAGGGGAAAAATATGGTTTTATAGATTCCCTCGAGGCTAAAGATACAGAAATTATGTTGGAGAACATTCTTAACAAAGATAACTTAGGTCGTTATGTGGTGGCTTGCTTATGTTTTCTCCAGGTACCTAGATACCTGTTTTGATACCTGTCAAGAAAGCCTTGATTTAGGAAGCCTGTCATGTACTATGGTGAATGATTGAAGTGAGTTATATTTTTAGGGCTTTGCCTGTTCTGATGAAAGACAGGTTTTATTTTTGGTGGAAATAACACTGCTGCATCAGTCTGAAATACTGTGAATGGAGTGGTGGAGGTACATTGATCTCAGAATATATGTTTGTAGATTAATAGTGAATAGCAAAGATTTGCTATCTTAACTGATAGGATGCCCTTTAATAAATAAATGGAAATCTTTACTCTGTCTTTTATTCAATGAGGAAAGCAGGTATATTTTGGATTTTACCATTCAATTATTAGTTAGGCAGACATCTGTCTAATAATGGCTCAAGGGAAATAGTTAAGGTTGACACCTCAAAGAGTGTATTCCTTTTGTTGGTAATGAAAACACTGGATTTATTTACATGTGAGAAAATATTCAATTACATTAAATTAGTGAGAAACAGTCATTCTGCTTGAAGCATTTATGCTGTGGGAGCTGTCTATTTTAAAGACACATCAAGATATGTTCTTAATGACAAAAATCATACTGCATTAGCGTTACAGATATTCATACACTATGTAGCTTCATGCATACATGGGCTGCCCAAATCACATTGTAAGTAATTTTTATTAATTTAATTCTGGCATGCTGGCTTTTACAATTTTGACTGGAAATTTTAGCATAATACATGATGTATAATCAACTAGCTTGATCTGCCCTAAGTGTAAATGGTTTCTGATGGTACTGACATCAGAGAGGTATAATCAGCAAGATTTCTGCCTTCCTAACTTCTGCCTCTTCCTCTACAGCTGTTCTGCCTGATGCTGCTAGTGTTTCCATGGAAACAAGCCAGCTCTTCGCTTCCTCTTCCCATTGAAAACAGCCTTCTCACTGTCACTTATTCATCTGGGAAAAGGATTTTGT